ATTATTGTTTTCAACCTTTGCTTTCTTGAGAAATATCTCTAACCCAAAGTCCTCTTTTCCAAGAATAAACATTCACATTCACATTTATTAATAATTAATTATGTTAAACATTGCTTACGCTCTCTAAACCTATTGTGTCATTGTGCCTTATTTAATATAACTTTGCGGATAACTGTTAGTGGGATAAAAGTGACTTCCTCAGTTGGCACTACGATGATGTTTTATTTGAACAGCGTAAATTTAAATCAAACAAAACGGCTTTAATATTATACAACGACCACCATGTTACGATCATTTCTGAAACCAAATGATTTCAATGCTTCAGACAAAAAAAGCCAAAAAAGAGAGGAATTTTCACCGTAGAATACTCCTTTTCATGTTGCAATAAAACTGCGGTTTGATGTACCCCTAAAGACCAGTGACGTTTTAAACCCCGTCGCGGTCAGACGAATTGAAGCCTAATTGTGATTTGTTAAATTTTTGGACTGAAAAAGTATCCGAAGAAATTGTAAACATTACAATCCATCTTAAAAATAAAGCTAGATTGGAAAAAAATGCACAACAAAATGCAGAGGGAAAGTATTGCGGAGAGAAAAGTTGGGTTTATAAGTTTTTAAAATATAATATGTTTCTCGGTAAATAAACTCTACCCTTATGACGTTATATATTTCACAAATAAAAACAAACGAATATTTATTTTCATTGTTGCCGTAATTTAGCAAATTAGACATTTCTCTCTCGTCTTTTGCCGCTATTTTCTTTCCATAGCGGGCAGTTGCTACTCTTCACCAAGTTGATTAAGCGTATATCGATAATGTTTATTCTTTGTCAGATTTAAATCACAGGCACGAGTATCGGACCTGGGAAGAAAAAATATGACCAGATTGATAAAAAAAAACCTGTGTTCATCTTAAAAGTGTCAAAAAAAATGTAAATAACGACCCCCTTTAAAAATATACTATATATTAAGAGAAGGCCGGAAACTCCAGATTCGAGCCTACGAGCAAGGGATTCATTTCCCGGGCCGTTGTGAAAACAATTGGCCAGACAATTAAAAAAACTTTTATCACTATTTCACGTTTATATTAAGCTTCAAAATGAGACCAACCCCAAGTCTCTAGCCTTCCCGTTCATGAAATATCTATCAGGAAACGAGCGAATTCGTGCTAAAAATCCTTGGTAGACAGAATTGCGGCACAACAATTTGGTACGTAAACATAGACTAATACATGTATGTCAGCTGACTACGGGTCAAAATTACTTGAATTTACTAAATAATATTACTAAATACATTAAGTTGGACCACTCACAACCGTCAGAAGCATCTGATACACGCAAAATTTCAAACCTTTCCACGGTCTTTAGATTACTTTCTACGCCATTGTCAATCAGCTGTTCGATATTTTGTAACGAGTCTTCTGATTGGCCAATAGCAACGAAAACCGCAACGTTTCACACAAGGATGCCTAATGGCGTAGAAAGCGATTGAAAGACCGTGTAAATGTTTGAAACTCGAATCTCGTGTGTATTACTGATATAATCATAATCAGTTGAAATACTAGGCAATTTTTGTCACTATATATACTATCGAGTTTATTAAAACGTCAGATATGACGTCAATAAACCAAACAACGTCAGGAAAATTACTTATACGCTCAATGCAGTTCAACCTGTTTTTATCAATACTTATTCTCTTTTTTATTAGAATGTTAAAATGGAAATATATATTAATTATTTGTGCATTTTAGTATAAAAATGCACGGTTTATTGTTCAAATGCTTTGTAATTAATTACTCAGGCCTATCGTCCTTCGTGATGATATTCCTTGGCGTTTGAACTCAACCCGTGAATTATTCTAGAACAATGCACTCAGAGTTGATATCTGTTTTCTAATCAATGATTAGTTTTGTGATAAAATTAGTTGTATCTGAACTGGAATTGTGATGAATAATTACTTGTCTGATTAGATTTACCGATCAATGAATTTAATCATCGTGGGTAGATCTACATGTCTATATATTAATTTAATAAAAGTTCATTGATCCAATTATAGAGGCCTTTACAGACTCCGTTGACATTAAAGAAATACTATAGCACGTTTATATCAATCGAATTCGAAAAAGAGCTCCATTTATATAAAAACAAGCGTCATATGTTTCACAAGGTCATAGAAATGAAAAATAACACACAAATCTATAATAATCTATAGACATTTTTTTTTGGTTTTTTGACACTTTTAAGATGAACACAGGTTTTTTTTATCAATCTGGTCATATTTTTTCTTCCCAGGTCCGATACTCGTGCCTGTGATTTAAATAAGTAGCATATCCAAATGCAGGCTTAAGATATATGTAAAAAATACTCATATCACGATTACATTTAACATTTTCGCGCCGTTCTTTCATAAAATTATCAATAAGTTTCTGTTTTAGTTTATACAAATTTATATTAGTTCGATAGTGTTGGAACCTATAAGCTTATTGAAACACTCTCGAATCAGTTCCTGGAACCAACCAGAACTAAGCAATAAATGTAAAGTTTCTTGGAAACAACGGTTTCCTTGTTTCAAGGAAACAACGGTTTGCCCTCTGACAGCAATCCTTAGATTACTAGCCCGACGCACTAACCACTCGGCCACGCCGCCACTCGTTTTAGCAAATGACGGTTATCCCATATGGTATAAACCATACTTGTCTTAAATCATGTTGACGTTCGACGACCAGCTTGTTTCACCCTTTTCACAGTCTTCAAAAGAACATAAGCACATATATTACAGAACACAATAATCGGTTTGTAATATTTTAAACAAATATATTTTAAAAAACGTGTATATCGGAATCTCCCCCAACGCCCAATACACAGTGCATTGCTGGCAGAAAAGTCAACTTCAAATTATTTTGATCACCTTTCTTAAAAACTGGTACAATAATTAAGAAATAACATCGGCCTGAGAGGTGTATATCGGCTATTTAACACCGGTTTGGAGTTTTGATGCGTAGGAATTGACCACGAAGGCCGTAGGCCTGAGTGGTTAATTTTGTCGCATCAAAACGACAAAACAAGTTAATGTGAAGTATTATGATAACAATATACTTTTTGTCAATTCTATAACAAACAATCGGTAAATATTTTGTGATGATGTTACATTCAAAAATCGACGATTGTAACAGAACGATTACCGGATGTCACTGGTTACAAGATTGAAGTTATTAGTTTTTTCAATTCATATTGTTTTTAACCGTGATCTCTGTACACCATGAAACAAAATATTAGATTTCAGAACATTTTAATGTATGTTTGTATAATAAAAAGACAGTTTGCGATACTGTTAACTGGAATGTCACTTGAATTTTTTTTTATAAAAGATTTAACCTTGAAATTTAGATACAATGTAGTTTGTAAATATTTGATAACACTAATAATGTATCTATGTTAATGTAAAATAAACATGAAGTTCAAATAATCCATTCTTAGCGAACATAGTCCTATTCTTATGTTTCAATTTAATTGATTTGAAAATTTCTGACGATTTCGATCTTTTGATTAATTGTTTTTAATACAATATTTGTTATATATTGACCGCTCAATTCGCAGTTAAAATAATAGTTTAATTGTTTTTTTTACATTAAAAACGTTTTTCTTAACTTATTATTTTACTTACATTCAAGTAGGCCCATATCTGTAACAAAATCCGATATAAAATGACCAATGTCTTTTGCGACTCTTAAACATAAAAATACGACCGGTTTTCACGGCTTTCCGAAAAACGACGTACTGTAATATAGAATCTATGTGTTTCTTCAAAAACAATGGGCATTTAGAATAAAACTTTCAAATACGTGTATCTTTTTGTAAAGGCATAAAAACGGAATGCTAACAAGCCATATTAAAAAGTGATAATGCCCTCGAGGTTATCACCTTGCGGCCCTACTCTGCCGTGTATTAATCTCTTTCCGGCCTGTCATTGACGTGTGTACACTTGATGAATCTTAAAGAAACATTTTTTTTAATTACTTTGCTATTTCTTTCGTTGAAATTCCTGTCTCTGTTGATTTCTACGGTACAGTGACTTCTACAGAGTTGTTTCCCTTAAGTTCACTGAAATTAAGAAAGCACGATTTATTTTCTCAGAAAAAAATTCTTGTAGTCTACAGTTGTTTTTTTTTAATTTCAATAAAACAAATAACGCTAAAATTCTTAATCATAAAATCAAATGATTCGTGCTTAAAGCCTACTTTCATTTTTTCACTTAGTTGTTTTGATGAGTTAAATGTGACGTCATTGTTTGAGTTTCTGCACGTATTCGTGTTCAGCGGCCGATTACGATTATCAGTTTCGGCCTCATAATCGGCCACGTGATATAATCATAATCAGTTGAAATACTAGGCAATTTTTGTCACTATATATACTATCGAGTTTATTAAAACGTCAGATATGACGTCAATAAACCAAACAACGTCAGGAAAATTACTTATACGCTCAATGCAGTTCAACCTGTTTTTATCAATACTTATTCTCTTTTTTATTAGAATGTTAAAATGGAAATATATATTAATTATTTGTGCATTTTAGTATAAAAATGCACGGTTTATTGTTCAAATGCTTTGTAATTAATTACTCAGGCCTATCGTCCTTCGTGATGATATTCCTTGGCGTTTGAACTCAACCCGTGAATTATTCTAGAACAATGCACTCAGAGTTGATATCTGTTTTCTAATCAATGATTAGTTTTATGATAAAATTAGTTGTATCTGAACTGGAATTGTGATGAATAATTACTTGTCTGATTAGATTTACCGATCAATGAATTTAATCATCGTGGGTAGATCTACATGTCTATATATTAATTTAATAAAAGGTCATTGATCCAATTATAGAGGCCTTTACAGACTCCGTTGACATTGAAGAAATACTATAGCACGTTTATATCAATCGAATTCGAAAAAGAGCTCCATTTATATAAAAACAAGCGTCATATGTTTCACAAGGTCATAGAAATGAAAAATAACACACAAATCTATAATAATCTATAGACATTCTTTTACAAATATTTAAAAAAAGGAAGAGCAAAAGACGGAATGGACTTAAAATATTTTCTTCTTAACGGACATATTTTGATTTTACTAGGTAAATTTACTTTTAAATTAGTTAATTAAAACAAAAGTAATTATGGCTAAATGTTTTAAAAGTATTATCAAATTTGTACGTAATAATACTAATTATTATTTTTATTACATGTATTATGATTAATATTTTTATTATGATTATAATTAATATCGAAAATGGCACATGAAGCGGTTGTCTATGTTTGTGTAAGGAGTTGCGTGTTCGGATGTTTTCATATAGATATATTATAGGACTTATATTGTTCAATAGATATTCTTCAAACTTGTCATGTTGTTATGATGACATAAATATTTTGAGCAAACACTGTAGGGTGTGCATTTATGCTTCTCGGGTCATGACTTATTGAATAATGTCGTTCTGGACGTTAATAAAATTGTTCTTATAACATAAACACCTCGCGCCACCGTCTTCGATTCTTTCATGTGAAAAAAAACTATTCAGGTAGCTGACGGAACATCGGTGGTTCTACTCAAGTGCCCGTTTGTGCCTGATATAATGCACAAAGGTACCCGAGGTAAAGCTGGAAAGTTGCCATATGACATATACCGTGTTTTTGCGAGTAAATGAAGCGGATATTGCGGCGACGTAATGTAATTCTTTAACGCATCACTAACGTCGGTTTTTAAGCTTAAAGACACCTGTAAGACTTATTGTCAAACACGCTGATCGCTAAAATTTGAAACGTTTAACCGCACTTTTATAATGTAGATCTCTTCAGTTACTGTATATACGCAACATTTTGCAAATTTTTATACGTCTGCATATAAGATATTTTACAGAGATGCTTAAATTCACCGCTACCCGCATTACTTGCTGTTCAAACAGGCCCATATTTTACATTATAAATTCACAGTGAGTAATGAATACGATTTACGAAAACTTATGATGACGTCATACAATGTCCATCATTTCTGTAATAGTACATGACTCTAGGTCAAATACATTTTTGAGCTACGCGGTACACAAATTGAAAATTGCAATTTTTTACTTAATCAAGGGCAATAACTTTATAAATACTTAATAAATATTAATAAATACTACAAGCAAACCTCAGGCGCGCAGCTTCACGTGCTGATCAACATTCCTGTAATGTGTCAAGCACTTTAGAACGAACACACGCACGGGCGGTTAAGGGCAAACCTCTGTCCCCATGAGTAGAGTTAGGGAATAGAAATACTTAAAAGGATAAATCCAAAAGAGTATGTTTATTAAAAACCGCGTCTGTTCATGCCTAGTAGTTATTTGGGGGTGGAGTAGGATTTGTGTACAACTCAACATTTTTCTTTTAGAAAGTTTGTTTTTCGTACAAAAGTTTTTTAGCAAACATTAACGTCAAAAAATGGAAAAGCGATAATAAATTCAATAAAATTGCAAATCTAGTAAGTTTCACACACTACTGACAGTTCTTTTTTGCTCAAGTAACACGTTATATTGAAATGTTCCTGTATTTAGACTTTACAAGCCCGTGTTCCAGTCTTTGCTTCTGTTCGGCAAATCGACTATAATATATCTATCAGAAAATGTGACGTGCTCGTACAAAAGAGCGCGTATGTTATGAATAAAAAAATATCAACGCCGAAATCCCAGACTAAGACTTTAAATATAAATATGCTTTTACATCGTAAGGTTTCATTTCTAAATTTTAAGCATTTGCCACTACATTGTTGTTGTTAATTTTATATATTTAGGAAAAGTAAAACTCTAGAACAATTCTACTGATAAGCTCAGTATTATTGCCGTACTTTGAAGTTTCAAACGTATCTGCATGCGTCAAATCGTGTACCGAAAAATTTTAGTCGGTGACCCCCTATTTTTTAGTCGATTTGACTAAGTATAGATTTTAAAGGACGATTAAAGAAAAAAATCAGAAATATATTTAAAAAATATTTTAATAAGCCGTGTAAAAGCGGCTAAACTGAACATCAAATTTTACACAAAATTGACAATTTGTTTCCATTTCTCAAACATTTTTCGGCGTAAAACGCTCAATTTTATATTAGCTTAAAGGAAAAATTAATTTCCGTCGGATGCTGTAGAATTTAATATATTTTGTTCGCTCGTGGCGTGGTGATACCCGTTACAGTTGCCAAGGATACCCAACGACGTAATGTTCAAAAACGGGCTTTGATGGTCAACTTTGACGTCGTGTGTCCAAAAATTAGCTGAAACTATTGGAATAAAATCCACGGAATCTAATCAGAAATAGGGTCGACTTTTCGTATGCCAATTTTCAAAACGCTACTCGAAAGTTCGCAAAGTGTCGCGTTCTACCTTAATCTGAAATATCACACATAGAAGGGTCTTTTTTTCGTAATATTTCGGTTAAATGATAGATCAAATAATGGAACCGAGGACAATACCTCAACTGTAACAAGACAATTAGATCAATTGTTGAATAAATAGCAATGCATATTTGTACACGACATTCTTAGTTTCAGTAAAGCGAATTACAATAAGGCCGAAGTATGTCGATAATTTAATGTTTTATATCAAATATTGAATGATATGATAAAGCGACTGAAAAAGATCGGTTAGACTTTACTTCTTATAAGTAGGTTTAAACGTAAATTTGAATAAAAAAAGAAGGAAATCCAAATTCAAAAAAAAATGTTATCGAACATTTTATTGTGTCAAGAATATTTGAAAAAAAAATTAAGCAAAGTATAAAATGAGCTAATTATAAAAGATAATTTTATATATCCTAACATATTGCTAAATGCATGTGTTTAAATTATGTAGTATGGAACATGTTGACAGTTGTCTAAGGAATTTTACGGAGCCCTTAAGGTGACATTTTCCAAACTTTTTTCCCGGGACTTAATTTGTTTTTACGAAATATAAATTCGTAATTACGAAATATTAATTCGTAATTACGAAATATTATAAATTTGTTTTTAGGAAATATTATTTCATTATTACGAAATATTTATTCGTAATTACGAAATATTAATTCGTTTTAACAAAATATTATTTCATAATCACGAAATATTATTTCGTTATTACGAATATATTATTTCATTTTTACGAAATATTTATTTGTAATTACGAAATATTAATTCGTTTTAACAAAATATTATTTCATAATTACGAAATATTATTTCGTTATTACGAATATATTATTTCATTTTTACGAAATATTTATTTGTAATTACGAAATATTAATTCGTTTTAAAAAAATATTATTTCATAATTACGAAATATTATTTCGTTATTACGAAATATTCGTATAAACGAATTAATATTTTAGAGGGTTTTAGTAATATTTATAAAGAAGGCTTCTGACTAAATGTAAAGCGTGTAAACAAAGTATAAAATGCGACTTTTCCTCACTAAGTATTATACATTTACGCGACAGTATAACAGTTCTGCATATAAATTGAAATAATCGACTGTTGGTGAGTTGCCGCGAACACGTTCTAGAAAAATTGTGCCAGACACGGACATTGTTTTCTGTTTATTTTTTTTAATTTTATTGAATTTTGAAATAAAATATCATATTTTATGATCGCACGGTGCCCATACATAAATTGTAAGGAAATATACTTTTAGTGAAAATCTGTAGGCCAGTCCCTTTAAGTTTTACTAATGTGTATGATAAAAGAAAGTAATAATATAGCTCGTGTCTTTTTTAAAGAAATATGTCAGAAAATGGGAAAGAGATGATATTTTGGACTGGATTAAGAATGACTACTCACTCAAACCCCTGTTCACTTTACTTATAATAACTTGAGAACCATTAGGCTTATAATCGTTATATTTGGTTGCAATGTTAATCAACCTTTTGGTTGTGAGGTTAGAATTTTCTTTGTCAGGCTAACAATGATCTTCAATAATATCTCGTACAAAACGAATAAATATTTCGTAAAAACGAAGTAATATCTCATAATTACGAATTGATATTTCGTAAAAACAAAATACATTGTAAGTGCCGAGAAAAAAGTGTCGAAAATGTCACCTTAGGGGCTCCGATGGATTTATTCGTTTTTCCCGACTGATTATTTGGCATCTCATAAAGGAAAAAATCTAAAGCGGACAGGTTAAGAAAAGGCTGATCAAATTTTGATGGAACGTAAGTTAAATAAGGTAAGGTGGGTTGGGGAATGAAAAATAGAAATATCAATGCACAGACACAACCACTGCAAAAGCAAATTTTGGAGAAGAAAAAGACAGATTTGCTACAAAAATGTCCTTTGAAAACACTTCCAAAAATAGTATTTACATCATAATACTTTGTCCAACATTATGTAGCAGAAACGTAGAAAACACTTTATATTATAAGTGACCTAAATTTGTTTCAGCACACGTGATTTTTGGCGGTGATCCGACATGTCCGAGCAACATCAAGACGTGTTACAACTGCGCCGTTGTACCAGGTTGTGCACAAAATGAATACAATAACATTTCCGAGGAGGATTGCCTGCTAGAGCTCACAAATCATGTAACTATATGGTCGGTAGAATATGTCTATTCAACGGGATATTGTCGACAGAGCAATTGCGGAGATATTGAAATTGAATACAAAGCTGGATCGGTTATTCATCGAAAAACTTGTGACACTTCCGGTAAATACACTTACTACGAATCTTCCCAAAATACGTAACATTTGTATATTTTCAGATTTAGTTAAAATAAGATTGTTTGGCGGAATTGAAATATCTGTTTCAGAAAAAGTAAATATATACAACTACATCTAGTATATGACAAGACTTCACAGGTCGCAAGCATAATTTACCTGTCTTTATTTTGTTTGATTTTTGTTTGTTTGTTTTGTTTTCGTTTTGTTTTTTGTTTTTGTCAAAGTTCAAGAACGACAGAATAACAAATGCTCCACGATATGTAGCTATTGCACAGAGATAATGAGTGTCATGTTTAAAATTTAAACACTTACTTTGATGCAAAGCATATGCCAATTATACTAACGTACCACTTGAAGCGCGCTGGATATACCAATGTTTGCATACAGGTTTACTTGTATTTACAAGAACAAAACTAAATTTCAGACTGTGATATTGTTTCAATCTTTTCCATAGCGGTGTATTAAGTAATTGTTTTAGTACCAGACTATTTCTTATAAGGAGCCTCCCAGACCGAGAAGCTAAATTTGCTGAAGTTACCTCATTTTCACAATGACGTGTGTAACGTGTACGCCAGCTAGCGTGATGTTTGATGCCTGTTTATGCCTGAGCTATTGCACAAATGTTATTCTGAAGTCTTTCTCTAACAGAGGAGCTGAAAAGTCGTCATATAGCCTTGACAGTGTTAGTTTAATTTAAATCTAAACAAGCATATGAAATTTTCTTATCTATTGTAACGGAGGTCCATTAGTGACATAAGACATAAGTCATAAAGCCAAAGTCCTTAGACAAAATGGCACTTATGGGCTTCCTTAATTGGCTGACCACAAGTTATGCTAAATTCTCGCAACAATTCTTATGCATTTGGTTTGATAATTTCACTGATTTAATTAACTTCACATGATAACATAAAACAAAAATTTGCACGAGTTCAGATCAATGCCTGCTTAGAAAAATTAATTCTGTCTTTAATGTCGAAAAAGATACAAAGTTTTACAAAATTTTCTTTTTCTTATCGAATTCCATAGCATGTGCAGATTACACGCTCACTAAAACAAACTATACTACGGTATCAGCATTGGAAACCACTTTCTTTAGTGATAACGGCCCAAAAATGAGGGAATGTTTGGCTCACTGTCTGTTAAGCAGCTCGGGATGTACAATATCGTATGAATCTGTCGACAAAGTGTGTAATGTGTACACCGATTGTCAGAATAATTGTAGTATGGAACCAGCCACAGAAACTTTTAGCGTTTATAAGAAGTATTGCGGAAACCAGCTTACAGGTTCGTTATAGATCAGGTTTTTCAAATATCTATAAATAGTAATTATGTTTCAAGTATGTATTGATATTTATTGTTTTATTAACATATATTGTAACATTTATTATTTTTACTTTAAATAAACACTTTTGAGATAAACAAAAAACGATTTCATTATGCACGACGTAAATAAAGAAACAGTTTAACATTTATAACAATAAGTAATGTAAAACATATTACCCCATCCGTTTACTCTACTTCAACCTTTTTCAAAAACATCTTTTTTTGAGGGCACAAAATAACAAAAACAAAATATGTTGCTTATTATTTTGAGCCGCGTCACGACAAAACCAACATAATGGGTTAGCGACCAGCATGGATCCAGACCAGCCTGCGCGTCCGCGCAGTCTGATCAGGATCCATGCTGTTCGCAATCAGTTTCTCTACTTGTAAAAGAGTTGGAAAGCGAACAGCATGGATCCTGATCAGCAGGCTGGTCCGGATCCATGCAGGTCGCAAACCCATTATGTTGGTTTTGTCATGGCGCGGCTCAATTATAACATTGTAAGGTAAGTTGTTAAAATCTTTTGCTATTTACAACTCTATTGACTCGAGCCATGTAGTTTTATTATATTATTGCGGCATACTTTTCTTTTGGAATCTTTTTACACGGTCGGTTCCATTGATAGTCAGGTGACTTTTGAACTTGTCCAAATTATCGAAATAAATGTATGACAAAACTGTATATAAACTGGAAATACAAAACAAAGACGGTACTTATGATCAAACAAAGGACGGACACACGTTTGAACAAACAAACCTATAATTAATAAACAAACGAACATGAAAGTTTTGTTTTTCTTGTCTACTGATGATGATCATTCAAATTAGCATACAACAACAACAACAACAATATTTATTTTAAAGGTACGATGTCTACAGCAATGACTACACCAACGACGCCAACAACAACGAAAGCGATTACATCACCAACACCATCATCATCACCATCGTCTCCATCATCATCACCATCATCTCCATCATCACCATCATCATCATCGTCGTCGCCATCATCATCATCATCATCATCAACTTCACCAACAACAGCTTCGTCGGTAACAACACCAACATCAAAGACCACATCGACAGCTTCGTTGACCACAACAAGTATACGTGCCCCATTACCAAAGCTGTTTATTGCACCGTGTATTTGCTACTTTAATAAAACATTTGTTAACATGACGAAAGAAGAAATTATCACACTACTTGTAAACGATATTAAAATTGACGAAAAATCAACTTCACTTCAACAATCAAAGTCAAAGTGTGCCTCTGACTTAAGAACTTCCTCAAAAGTAATGGGAAGTGTAGCTATAATAGTCCTATGTTCTTTAGGAAGTTTTGTGTTATGTCTGGATTTACTTACCTTAGGAAAAAGGCTACGGCCAAAGATAAAAGGCAAGCGTAGCAAACCGTCTCGAAAAAAGAAAACATAGGTTAACATTTTGTTTGTAGGTTGTTTGGTAGTAATAAGGTCATTGCTAATATATAATATGTGTTTGAAAAGAAAAACGATTGTATAAATGATAACTTAATAATTTATTGCTTCTTTTGCATACAATACGGTGTATTGATCATTTATATTAGTTGAAAATGACGTCATTCTAGCGCCTAGAATGATTAATTGAGCACTGATGTAAACACAATACAATCCAGTCTAATGACGTAAGTTTTGTATTGTTGAAAACTTGATAAAATAACTTTTTTTCTTATTATTTGTTTTGCTTAAGCTTATCTTAGCAACAGCAGGTTGCGAATTCAAACAGGGTTGTACGAAAATCGACATAAGTAGTCTCCGTTGAAAAAATAGCATAAGTGATCTTCTCCTCATTTTTCTTTATTGGCCTTAGGGCCTTCGTGCTTAATTTCTACTCATTAAAACTCCAAACCGGTGTTTAATAGTCGATAAACACCGATCGGACCGATATTATGTTTTTAATTTTGATATTCCGGAACATTTGACATTCTCTTTATTTTAATACTTTGAAAAGTTATAAATTTAAAAAATAGGTAATCTTAAGCATTGTGCCATTTTATTACACTTGACATATATAATTAAATGTCAATACATTTGACTATTTTTCTTTAATTTGTTATTTCAAACATTTGATATTTCAATGTATTTGACAATTCAAAACAGTGAAATTTTAACACACCATTGGTATGTCATGTTGTATGTATGAATTAGAGCGTTTATCATTTTCTCTGCTATGTATTTTGTATTCTAAAATAGGATAACGATATATTTCTCCTCTTGCACTTTTGTTCATATGTTTAAATATGTAGAAGCAAATCCAGTCTTTGCAGCCAGGAGAGGGGGTCTCTAAAATATTTATATGACAAACATGTACCTAAATGTTTATATTAATTACGCATTTCTAGGAAAATCAACAGCAGGTTTTGTTTATATGACGTTTTTGTATGTTCACTAACGGTTCTTCTGTATTACCAGTCTATTTGTCTAGTTTATTTGTGAAGTGGCAGTGTTTTCATTTATTGTTAGTTTGAAAATTTTAAATATTAATTAAATTTAAAAATAGAAATGAACGGAGCAAGTCAATATTGCTCTACATGAATCTGGTAACTGTTACTGGAAGATCGCTCAAATGTTCATGATATTGAAAAAGAAAGTTTTTTTTCATTTATTAAATTTCTGCAGGTGAGAAATATTGCTGCAAGTCCAATTAATAGTATGTACGTAATTCTGCAAATATATAAATACAGAATAAAATATCAAAATCAATAAGTACGTGTAAATAGAACGCCGATCATTATCTATAGACTTTTGAAATTATCGTAATATGTCAGAATGGGTTCAGAAAGGGTAGAAGTACAATTGATCATATATCTTCATTAACTAATATTATTGATACTAGAAAAAAGGCCAAAAAATCTACTTTTTGTGCATTTATTGATTTCAAAAAAGCCTTTGATTTTATAAATAGGACTATTTTATGGGACAAATTGATGAATTCGGAAATTGGTGTTAATGGAAAAATGATGAATGCTATGAAATCTCTATATAGTCAAGTTACATCTTGTGTTAGGGTTAACGGTTTTTATACAGATTGGTTTGATGTTAAATGTGGCTTAAGACAGGGCTGCTCTTTATCACCTTTGTTATTTAATTTATTCGTAAATGATCTGGCAGTATCTATAAAAGCAGCAGGAAAGGGTATTTGTATTGATAATGAAAAACTATGCATCCTTTTATATGCAGACGATATTGTACTTATAGCTGAAAACGCAGAAGATTTACAGTTTATGTTAGATATGTTAAATAATTGGTGTAACAAGAATACTATGATTGTGAATCCTATGAAGAGTAATATCATGCATTTTAGACCTGTTTCTGTTCCCAGAACTTCATACAGTTTCACATGTGGTGACCACATTCTGAAAGTTGTTGCCAACTACACTTACCTAGGTCTGTTACTGACCGAGATGCTTGATTTTTAATATCATGGTGAAATCTGTTGCTCAGAGTGCTGGTAGAGCCCTTGGTCTCCTTATAGCTAAAGTCCAAGTCCTATGATGGCATGCCATATAAGGCATTCACAAAACTTTACGATAGTACAGTATGGCCTGTTATTGCATATGGGGCATCTATTTGGGGAACAAGATCCTATTCTTGCATAAATGCAGTGCAGAGTCGAGCAATGAGATTCTTTCTGGGGCTGGGTAAATATACCCCTATTAATGCCATTTATGGTGAGTTAGGTTGGCAACCCCCTCATGTGAAACAGTGGAGATCTGTGTCTCAACACTGGCATAGAGTAAAGTCAATGGATAGTGAGAGAATTAATTTCAAGATTTTTAGATTTTGTGACAGTAAGAGTAATAATAGTTGCAAAAATTGGCAATTTCTGTATAAGAAACATCTATTGTCAAACAATTTATTGAATTTGTCTAACGATTGTATTAACATGTCTTCCAAATATTTTTGTGATAAGATAAGTAAGTGTACCATGGATACTTTCATTCATGATTGGAGAACCAGTATTCAAAATGTCACGGGTCCCTCTGGTAGAGGTAGAAATAAACTTAGGACTTATACGCAGTTTAAATCTGTTTATGAAACTGAAAAGTATGTTGAATGTTCAACTTTGTCTAGTAAATACAAGTGTGCATTAGCTAAGTTTAGATGTGGAGTTGCCCCCCTCCGTTTAGAAACGGGGAGATATGAAAATATCCCAGAAGAACAGCGTCTATGTCCGATTTGTGAACTTGCAGTGGAAAATGAAGTTCATGTTTTATTTCATTGCCCATTGTATCAGAGTCTCAGAAATGATATTGTTAATAAAGCTATTGAGATTGATGCCTCATTTAACAATTTATGTGATCAGGATAAATTAAACTTTGTACTCTCAAATGAACATATGTTAAAAGTAAGTTCCAAAACGTGCTTTTTGATTTTAAAAGCCAGAAACAATCATTTATATAAATAGTTTAACAGACTACATTTCAGGATTACTCATATATCATTTTTATTATAAGTATTAGTAGCGTAAATAGTGTAAAGCAAAGTTATATTATCTCATTCTATGTAGGAGATGGGGTATACATACAGATACTGACAGTTTAGTATGTTTGTTTCACTGACAATTCTATTTTTATTTGTTAAATAAGTGTTAGTCTTTAGAACATTTCTTCATTCATAAACAAGAATGTGATGTTATGTCTGTATCTCACCTCCTGCCTGGAGTGAACAGTTAATATAATTTTAAACACATAGAAATTTTAATATAGAATATGATATATTTTAATTCCATAAATAAGTTTTATCCCTATGTTTTGATAATCACTACTGAACAGTTCATCCATTGTCTTAACATGAGTGACAAATGATTTTGTAAAACCATTTTTTATATTGCTTGATAGTGCTTTTATTACAATATTTAGTATTTTACAATATAATTTCTTATGGAAGTTTTTAAGACAAGGTCAGTAGAGGTTATCAAACTTTTAGAATGTAAAAAGTCTATTATAATTTTGTAATTAAATGTCTCAAATAACTTTTTAATAATGACAATGTGCAATTATGTCATCCTATTGCAATTGATTTATATGATGTAAATGTTGAGAATGTGAATATACATAAATAAGGGAGGTAAATCTACAATCATATTATACATTTCTATAATATGGATTGTGGAGTTATCCCTCTTAGTATTAGCTATAACAAGTCTCTTGTAATTCTTTCGAGAATGGCTATATACAATTTTAATGTTTTAAATGTTTTATATGTATATATGTGTATAGATGAGACTATAATAAAGAATATAATAATAATATCTACATCTATGTAAAGATGTATAGTTATATACCAGTAAAATGCACCACTACTTAATTAAATGTCCATGCACAAATATAGAGAACATATTCAAACAAACAAAAAAAAAAAAAAAAAAAAATATGTCGGCCAGTGTTCTCTCCCTTCCTCTATATAGCTAACTGTTGTTTTTTATGACTTTTTTAGCAATAATATCGCTCTGTGAATGATACTCTGTGCGTTGTTGTTCGGTTGTTTAACATCAATGAGGATGTGTAGGACTTAAGAGTTTTTTTTCCATCAGCATACGACAAATAGGTGTAAAATAGCCGATAAACTGTTTGTGAAGTTTATAAGAGAGAAACCTTTGTTGTTATGAGAAAGTTATATCCAATATCCTGGTAGTGAAGAAAAGGTCAACCGATGCAAGAGCACCATTTAACTCTTATTTGGTAAATGAAATAAATTGTTATAGGTGAAGTGTAATATTATAGAAGCCAAATCACAAGCATTAATATAAAACATTTTCCATGCATATTGTTAGAACTGATTAAATATAACAACTTTGCAGGTCAACGAGGACTGTAAAAATTTACATTATCGCCGAAACATTTTGTTGTTACAGTAACGGTTATTATATTAGTTATAAAGATTTTTGACAGGTTATTTTGCCCTATATATATGGTATTTTGGATATATAGCCCGAGCCGATAGGCAAGTGTTACATGGCAAACAACCGTTTATATACGGACACATTTATAAAAAAGAAATAAAACAATTTTTAGAGACAGAAGTGAGATTTCTTCATAAATGGACAGAAATCGTGTATAGAAAATATAAAAACGTCACGATTATCCAATGAAAAGAGACGTTACAAACATGCAGTAATTTAAAAATAATATGCTTTTTGTCAATTATATAACAAACAGTAGGTAAATATTTTGCATGAAAAAAATCATCGATTTGTCATTTCATTTTGTAACAGAACGATAACCGGATGTCACAGGTAATAAGATTGAAGTTATTTTTTTTTAATTCATATTGATTTTTAATGTTATCTCTGTAAACCATGAAGCAAAATGTTAGATTACAGAACATTTCAATCTATGTTTGTATAATAAAAGACAGTATGCGATAATGTGAACAGGTGTGTCACTTTACACATGTTTTAAGATAGATTTAACCCTTAAATTAGGATAGTTTGTAAATATTTGATTGCAGTAATAATGTATTTATTTTGATGGAAAATGTACGTCTGAAGGTCAAATAATCAATCCTTAACACATACAGCGCTATTCTAATATCTTCAATTGTATTGATTTTAAAATTTCTAACGATCTCGTTCTTTTGATTAATTGCTTTTGCTACATTTTATATTGACCGCTCAATTCGCATTTTCAATAATACTCAGTAGCTTATTTATAATTATTTTTTATATCCCAACTTCGTATTTTACTTACGTTCAAGTAGGCCCATATCTGTAACAAAATCTGATATAAGTTGACCATTGTCTTTTACCACTCTTAAACATGAAATACGACCGGTTGTCACGGCTTTCCGAAAAACGACGTAATACCTGTGTTCCTCAAAAACAATGAGTTTTTAGAATAAAAAAACTTTCAAATATACGTGTGTGAGACGGAATGCTAACATGCCATATGACGTCAGATATGACGTCAATAAACCAAACGACTTCAGGAAAATAACTTCTACTGGTTGGGGAGATAACTTCGGCTGGTTGATAAACTCGGCTTTTTATGATTAAATCGAGTTATCGGAATTTTTAATTTAATCAAGCTCACCATCTCGTACTATCGCTAGAATTCGACAATATCTGGAAATTTTGTCAAGTTTGGTAACATATTTAAAAAATAACACAGACTTTTACCTGTTTGTTTACAAAACATGCCTATAAAAAGTACGGGAATCCCATTGTTGTGTGCATGTGCAGCAGGTGCTCATTTTGAGGCCCGCAAAGGGGTACTTTTATATATTGACCGACTACCGGTAAAGCAGATGACGTTTACGTATACATTTTGTAGATGAAATTCAGACTCACTTTTGTCTAAAAGGCTGATTACACAATTGTAATCTTTATGTAGAATGGATTGAAAGACTGATGTTATATGCTCCTTTTATAT